GTTACAATAAAGAATGAAACGTAGAATCAACTATGGCCTGTCTATTATACACATCTGGTCATACGCGCGTCACACCGGCATCACCGTGTCATGATATTAACGGGTAAGTATACAAAAATGCAAGCATTTTGTTAATAATATTTGCCCACCTGACGTACATAGCTTCAGCTAGGCCAAACCCTGGATGCTGTTTTTCTGCACAAGGCCTGAACATGGCCTTCAAATGCATCTCACCTAACGTCGTTGTTGGCCAACGCCCATAGTTTGGAGCCGTATTTTAAAAGCATACAGCAACCAGTCTACATTATAGTTAAAATACATGACTCACCGATGAAATAGACATATTGTATTATATGAGCCTTTTGTATAAATATACCGTAGTTTATTCCGGAAGAAGTCAGAAGATGAAGACCTCCTTGGCTGTGCTTACGATCGCATCTTTCGCGAAGTGGACCTCGCATATAATAAAATAGTAACAACAATCATATCGCAACCTGGTCGTGACTCAATGTTATCCTAACAAACAATGCGTATTTTGCTTTACTATAGGTGACTGCAGAATATACCTACGGTAACTGAAGCGCAAGCAAAAAAAAAAACATTCAGAAAATAACTTAAGATAAATTAACCGGCACAAAAATGAATAACGGAAACTAACAATACTAATTAAACAAAAATAGAACCTTAACGTATGATGCATCGCGCAGTATGGAATGTGGCCTACGATAAATAATATGCTTCAACATAAGAAAAATATAAGTAAATATTAGTAAAACACACCAATAAGTAGTAGGCTTAGGTAATATTCGCTATTTACGGTTTAAAATATAGCACATATTTAATACCGTACTATATTATAATTTATTTATTCAAATATCCATATCATGCTACTTATATAGGCCTATATAATGACACTGAGCATTTTTTTTCAATTCAATTCATTTTATTCTGTCTATTTTAAATAAATAAAACAGAAATGATGTTATCCTATGATTTCCATCTATTTGTGAATTGTATATTTTGACTTTTAATTTCATGTTGCTGATGAAAATTTTTCCAGTTATATTTGAATCGATCATAATCTTTATGTATGCTGTAATTATACAAAACGTATAGAAGCCAAAGGAATCATTGTGATATGTTGCTTAGCAACGGAGATTTGCAAAATCGCTGATGGTGTGCGTGAGGAAAACACGTGACAAAGACCCTTATTTTTCTCGATAACAACGATGCCTCCCTATCACCACAGCCGTCTGGCTTCCTTGCAGCATTTCTATTGGTGGCGCTATTCTATTGACTGGTAGAGTCTTGTCGCTTCAGAAGCTTTACGACTTTGATCTATCCTAGCACTGCACTTTGTCCAGGGTAATGTAAGACAATACGTTCCTTTTTTAATGTGATTTACAAGTCTCCAACCTACATTAATGGTAATAAAAAAACACTACAGAACTGAGACAGGCAATAGACGCGCGCGTACTCCAAGAGTGCTTAGACTTATATTAATTGCATTTGAATTAAGTTTTATGTATTCTACTTAAGTAAAATTACATATTGTACATGCAAAAGGCATTAAACATTAAACTACTTAAAACGAATGTATTCCATTTTAGTGCAATTCGGAAGAGATAAAAACGCACGCGCGTATGGTGGCACGCTCTTTAATACGATAATATTCAATATCCGCCACATTTCAGAATCAACAATGAAAAATATGAAAGGGTTCAACGAATTATAAGATAGTATCTATAATAGGCCTATCTATTCATGGTTTATGGACGATTCTAAAGCATGGGTTGTCAATTAAATCACCACAGAGATATAAAGTGAGTAATTAAACAGAAACCCGTTATATGCAAATGAAGTTTGCGATGATCCAATGATTCATAAAACCATGTTATAACATTGTAGCCTATGTATATTGCAATGAAAGTGGCATTTTGTGATAGGGTTCTACAAGAAGGGGTTATCGGAAGCTGAAGCATTTACTATCACTCGGCGCCTCATTAGCTTGGAAAACATTTGGAATGTAAATCCAACATTGCCTATGCGAGCTCCTGCAGAGAGGGTACGCCTGTCTAGTATTTCATGCCCTCACGCTAGCTGATTTTATCCAGTGAAAATGCTTACAATACAAGAATTTATACTTATAAAATATTATCTAAAAATAAAATTGAATAGGATGATTTCTGTGGGAACTAGACAAATTCCGAATGAAATTCAGTACCGTATAGTCCGTAAAGCTAATTCTGTAATCCCGTACGTAACTACAACGCATTTTGTGACCGAACGAAGAAAGACGAAAACGGGCAGGCATAACTATTCATTCTTGACAATGTTCCAATAAAGAACGAAACGTAGAATCAACTATGGCCTCACGTCTGTCATTTTTCGGAGTCACCATACTCATATTCTATTTACGTATAATCAGTGGATCCTTTGGTTTTAAGAGATTTAGATTATGTATTACATAATAGTGGACATACGACTGGGTCAAAGTTCAGGAATCGAATACATTACTGTTATTATTTTATTAATTCCTATATATAAATTGGAAGTTGGCAGCCAAAAAAAAAAATGAAAATGCCCGCGTACATTCTGCAATAAAGATAAGCCTTAGGCCTACCTAACTGGAACCATTATAACAGTCGAATCATAAGAAACATTTGATTATAACGTGCCCGGTTCACATGTCATCCAGGTAAGCCAAAACTGCGAAGGAAGCGAATTCAATGTTATTTATTGGGAGAAAGTGTGGAAATAAAAGTAAATTTGAATTTGAAGAACTTTAAATTTGATTCGCAATGCAGAATACATTTGTTCGTATAAAACTAACTTAATTCAAAATCCATAAGAAGAGAGCTGTCAATCAGGGATATTGGTTTTATAAGTCTTTGGATTATTGGATATAGGTCTAAACTGAAATTGTATATGCCGGTACAATAACACCGATCCTCTACTACAATCCCTGTGACTTTTTCACCTCATTTTCATATCCCTGCCGAAGTCTAGCAATAGCATTGAGGGAGCCGAGACAGGATCACAACATAAGGACAATCTTACAAATCCATATACTATAGTTACGAGGTTCACCTAAAGTAAATTTACAAAGAAAAGTGGTATTTTTTTATGACGCGTGACCCGAGAGTGTGCTCAGAAATAACAATACCATTAAGACACCGTGACACAAAGGGAAACAAAAGTTCATTATATCCATGGATCGCATAGAATTTTCAACAATGATTTTTATTTCCACAACTCAACGTACATTGTGTTAGTGTCATCGATTAGAGCTATTTGGGAATATTGTACGGCACTTAATAAAGAGATCATGGACGCAGATCATGGTGGAAGGGGAACACGCCCCTCCCCCACATATTTTTAAGGGGATTGAACCATGGTGGGGCTGAGGTGAGTTTAGACTCCTTCAAAACAGATCTGTGCCCATGAGAGACACTATCAGGAGAGGGTTTGATGGAGACAAAATCGTTTTTCCTGAGAAACTTATCGTCTGCATAAATAATATCCTTACAAGCTAAACATAGCCTAGTACAATAATCACAACCATCATAACACAATGACAAAATTCATAATACTTTCCTCTAACAAAGCTAAACGGAAGTTTGTTACAAATCGGAATGGGTCATCTCTTCAAGATGAGGGATTAATGCACAGCAGATATCGATACTTAACGTGAATCAAGTTGGATTTGTCATTCCTTTAAAAATACGCTTTCGCCATTAATCGGCAAAGTTACCTATACACATTCTGTTTGAATTTTAACGAATCTTTTCATTCATCCTATCAGTAAATTCGGTAAAGAAATGCTGAATCATTTGAGGGAAAGGAACAGATCAGTATATCTGGATCATAGGGTTTGAAATATTTAACCAAGCCTATTGTATTGACGTATGAATTTGAAGAAGGCAAACAACGGGTTCAATTCCATTCCACCCATATCCAGAGTGCGGAAAGCTCCTTTCCAGAACATTTGACAGGCACCTCTTACTGACAACTTGTGAATAGTAAATTATTCCTCTCCCATTCACTACCACATCGCACTCTTTCCCCCAGTTTTGAAAATTATACATACGTTTAACGGTCTTCAATTCATCCAAACTCAGCGTCGGTTCAAAATAATTTGCCTAGGCCACCGGCAACAATATTCGCTACGTCCGTTTACTCCTTTAAAATGAAATGTGCATCTATTATAAAGATATGTACAGTCTTCTTGCTTTCACAATAATTATATAGCATAAAAATACAGCAGCTATAACCGATGAACCCTGGCGAGCAAACAATCACCTCTACCAAAGAATTCGAACAGTATCCTGGTATTGTTCTCGGTTAATTCTCTATTGAGCTTAACAGCGTCCTTTGAAAGTGGTTCATTGTATTGTGCTGGTAAGGTCTTAAAATGCAACATACAACGGCTTGGAAAAAAATATATGGTCATACTAAAAACGATGATTAAAGCTTCGAGGAGCAAAGACCAGGATCGTGCCCTACATCTATTCCTCCACCCCACCCACACAGAACTGTGAAACCGGCAGTGGTAGTATTCGATTAGTCACCCCTTTTGCTATTATTACTGGATGATTAATTATGACTGATATATCGGCGGGGTTAGGTGAATGCTCAAAATGATAAACCATCCTACGATCATCATAGAGTAGGCCTACGAATATAAGATTCAAACGATGATTGAAGCAGAAACAATTCGTTTTGGGTAGGCTAAAGTAATCACATCGGTGGTCGACATATTCCGAGAATTATGTTACTTATGTAAAAGAAAATGTTCATAAATAAATGATTTGGGCATGTGTAGCTATTTGGAATAGGCTTACACCAACTTGCATGTCTACAAGTATGTCTACAAGTTAGTCCACAACAGCATCTGGGCACACGATGTTTGACGGCATGTTATGTTTACAGTATTTTTTTTTCAATTGTTTGAAGTAGCTACTTGATTTGGCGCTATAGGATTATGTTCTTTGGTTATACAATGCAGAAAGATTTCTCTATGATTGCATCAATGACTAGGCCTATGTGAGAAAGACATTTAAATCTTCGGATTTTATGCCTTAAGCAATCACGTATTAAACATTAAAGAAATTCACTAAAACATTCAGCAAACGTTAAAGCAAACAAGGCCTCCCATTTATTTTAGTACGAAAACCATGAATAATTAACATATTAGTAAATAATAACGATACCTTTTACTTTAGCCTAAAGCTGGATTGTGCCTGCGTGTGTTAACGATACCATGGGGTTGTAAATGTAATTGGAAATTAAATTATTGACAGCCGCTTTTCCAACGAGATATATACATTCACAGAAAAATCCCTCTCTTACGATATGAGTTAAAATGCTAACTAACCATAGAATATAGAGATATGGTCATATTTTGGAAGAGTTAAGTTGTGAAAATAACGAAACTTAAGACCGATGGCGTGTCTGGGAAAGTTGATAGGTCCCCACCCTTTCAAAAAACTGCACGCAGCATTCTGGTGTCCATAGTGGGGGAGCTTGTGTGCCGGTATGTGCATTCTTGTACACAATACGTAACAAAATAATGTAGTGGCTATGCACTACATTAATATAGTTAGATTTATATAGTAGATTTAAATTTATATTAACAAGATCAGTAAAACATCAACAAATGTGACGACTCAATTAATCATTATTAATTATTTTAACCTCCTTGATAATATATAGGTCTCTTTTCGTACTTTATTCAAATTAGTCCGTTTTAATAGCTACCGTTATACCATTTACCATGTTTTAAAGAGCTTGGGTATTTCAAACGCTACACTAAAGTGAACTAACAGAAGTTTTCCTACCGAGTGAAATAAATTGACAAGGACGGCATACCGCTGATAGACGCATCTTTTTTGGTATGCAGATGATTGTTGTGGGGTGACCGGCTGAGGACGCCCATGACACAGGCCTACTCTAGTCTTAAAAAACGAAGTTGTTCCATAAACAAAAGTACAAATGGCAATTTATATCATTGGTGGTAAAAATTCAATCAAAAGTGAATTTCATAAAGCATTCTTTTGCTTTGAGTCTTTTCCGACATTAAATCAGGTTAATTACGTACTCTAACGCAGTTAAACGACTGATTGTATGCGATCCTGAAAATCGTGAACGTTTTAACTATTAAAAATGCAACAAGTCCACTACATACCTCAGGCGAAAGATGAAACAATTATTTGTCTGGACTAAATTAATTTTGATATCCGACCGCTTCGTTTTTTTATCAGCTGGGCATACGGAACTTGGTATCACAACCGCTCATTACTAGACCAACCACGATATATGCACTGAGGCAGTGACACGAACATAAAAGCGTCCCCTAACCCGGGGCTAACAGGCCTATCTTGATCAGTGGAAGTGAAAACAAAATCCGTCTGTAAACAGCGCCCTCATATATAGCCAAGTCCTTTATTTTTTTTCTTCATAGAATTAATGACAATTATTCTCCCATATTGCAAATGTTAATGTCATATTCACATCAAATGAATATTTTACACGTGTAAATGTATTAGGAATGATCGACTTCTTTCCGTTTTACGGCCCTGTTGGTTGTATTGACCCCTGGAGGTATTGGCTGGACCAAGAGTAAGCCGCCCCCACCCCCACAATACTCTCAGCTTTCAACGTCACATCTCGTTCATGGTAAGGTCAATTGACTGGTGGGTGGGTATGTGTGTGCGTGCGGGAGGGTCAATTTACGACTTTATTTTTTATCGCCAGTATTGGTCACTATACTTAAACCAAAGCACATACTCAATTGTATTCAAGCAAGATACGACTTAATGAAGCATAAATCTTATATTCCAGATGATTCAGGAGACCATATTTTCTTTTGTTATGTTTATTCTGCGGTAATGAATAGATTTAGACAATAATACACAAATTCAGCAACTGAATAACTGAGTTATAATAAGTTTCATGACTAAACCAACCTTTGTTTATTTTCTTTTGGAAGTCACTGGAGCCTTCATCGAAATAAAAGATCCAAAATTTCAACCTGTAATCGCAAACGAAAGCAATCCGAAGTTCGTGCGAACGTGTAATATCAAGCCGTTGAGGGCGTTGGTCTGTAACTGTCACTAGAGAGAACATCTCCCAGTACATAAAGGTAAAGGTAGGAGAATAACCCATAACTTGCAGCGTCATTGTGCTGAATTGCGTATGGGCGTGGTCCGTGACTACCTAGCAGCCGTAAAGAGGCGCTTCTTGGAAGTTCTTGGTAGATACATTTTCACATCATTCCACAACGACTACGACAGTGGATGAAATGAACCATAACATCGGGGTGATCCCCTACTCTTCCGAAAGATGCAATGTGTTCTTTAAAGTGCACACGAGCCAGATGTATACACTGGACCTCCATTTTAAGTCCTTATCCGAGAAGACATGGTTTTACAAACCGAACCACGGGGGAGGAGTGGCTGGAACCAGCGCTGATGTTAAGGCTGTAGCTGGCGGCGCCCCTGCCTTACCGCTCTGCCACTCGACTCGACATAATCCATCTATTTAAGCATATTAGCTTAATTGACAGCAATTTATAACGAGACGCGGCGCGCGCAACGGATGACGCAAGTGCCACTGGCAATCAGCAGACAGCCTCGTCAAACAATCACTGAGAACGGAGATAGATTCGCCGTGTGTGCTCGGCCTAACATTAATGTAATAAAAAGTAAAATAGACATTCTCCTTAAGAAAAGATATATAAAAGTACTGTACTCATCGGTACGATACGCCTGCTTGTTCATGACGCAGTAATGGCTTTGAGAACTGCCAACGTCAATGTGTCACTGAACAATGTACTCTGTCGTGGAAATTGGTACTATACAAATTTCTGTTGATCGATTTACATAAATTGCATAACAAATTGCGACATGTATTAACATTCTAGGGTGACGCTGCATTTAGAAATTTTGATTGACAATGTGTGGAATGACACTTACCTCATCGTTATCATCTTCCCCTTCCTCCTCTCCATCGGAGCGGTGCCATAAGACAACAAATCCCTGACTAACGTCCAGCTCATCTGAATAGTTGTCTTCGTCGTTAATTATTGTCTGTTCATTGTCATCATATTTTTGTATTTCCTCATCTTCTTCCTGGCGCTGTTTCCACCTACCCTTGGTTGTATTATCAGTATATTTGGCAGTAGTATCTAACATAGAAATTATGTCCTCGCGTTCCTTAAATCTGCTTTCGGTTCCTTTACGTACAGTGTCTTTTGTGCTAAAATTTTGCATATTTTCCGTTTTTGCATTAAGTATTTCGGCAGGCTGATTGTTGTTCATAGTGTCAGAGCGTTTATTCTCTGAATCTAAATTATAATTTTGGTTTTCAAATTGTTTTTCCTGACTGTCCCCAGACCCTGCATGGTGATCATGTACTACTGTGGCCGTCTTGATAATACCCTCTTCGGTTTTGAGTTTATCGACCATCTGCGTTTCGTCTTTAATCATCTCTACTTCTTTGACTGTCCTAATTTCCTGTGTTTCTTCAATTTTTACGAACCTATTATCCCTTACTTTGTTCTCAGTTTCATCAAACTCATAGTCGTCGTCTTTCTTTTCGTCATGATCATCACTATCATCATCATCGTCATCCTCATCATCATCGTCATCATCTTCATCATCAGTATCATCGTCGTCATAATTATCATCGTCATCGTCACCATCCTCTTCAACGTCATTTTCTTGTAAATCTTCAAGCCTATTAAACTTTTCATATAACCCATCGTCCTCCGTTTTGATATTCTCCACAGGCATTAAATGACGTATTTTATGGTAATCGTCTGCATACTCTTCGTCAGTATGTTGCTTCGCAGACGGTTCGATTTCAAGCGGTTCTTCATCATATTCGACCTCCCGCTCATAAAAACGGGCAATGGTTTTGAGTTCGCTCTGTCTGACGTCGTCCACGCAAATGGCCGATTCGTATTCAACTGGTTCCTCAGTGTCATCATTCCCTAATATCTCATTTATATCACCGTCATCAAACTCGTCCCCTTCTTCTTCATCAGAAGATATATCACTCATAATCGTTGCCTCCTCCTTTTCTCCGAGATTATCTGCAACATCATTTAATGTTTTACTTTCATCGAAGACTTCAGAATAAATGTCTGCGTCGGAAGTCAATTGTGAATTGAGCTCTGTGACGTCGACGACTGTCACCTGACTGCTGGATTCTGACAATTCCACATCCTCGTCGATATCGACCGACTTCTGTCTGGCATCAATTTTAGTCTCGGCTGCTGTATATGGCTGTGATTTTATCGCGGTTTTAACTTCTTTTTTGATGGTCTTTTCGTTGTCGCTTGTCGGTGATGATTGGGGATCAACGCTTGAGCCAATGTCTTCTCTTATGGACTCAACGTCCGCTGCCTTCTCAGCAGAACCCTGGAAATAATTAGAACATAATTATCTTCTTTAGGAACAAAATTATTTTTATTTTAGCAACGATTTTATCGTTTTTCCATGATTATGACGTCATTTGATTTGATTTGTTAATATATTTTGTTATCGTATACACGATAAATCGTTATTGAATCGTCCTAGTGTAAAAGTTTCTCTTATTTCTTTTGTTTTCTATATGAACAATCGCGTTTTAGCTTTTTATCGTTATCGTTACCGTTGAAGTATAAACAGGCCTTTAGGACCAATGTATTACCTCAAAACAATCATTCGTTGCTGATGATCATAGAAGTTTAGTAGGCCCAATGTAAATGATTATGGTATAATTGGACATTGGACAAAAACAAAATAAATAAATAAATAAATATTGTGTTGCTCAAGCACCCAGGGGCTTTGGAATTTTTTTTATTATTTAAAAAAAATATGTTACTATCATATCTGAACTTACACGCAAATTGTCTTATAAAAGCTAATTCATTAACGTAATGTGATCGTTTGAACCACAAGGCTTTTAAGTGGATTACAAAGCGCGATTTAATCTCGCTATCACTATAACTATATCTTATAATAATAGTAATAATGATGATGATAAACTTTTTTGGTAATGGTAATAGGCCTACATAATAATATATGTATTTTTTAGTAATAAAAATAATATTATCAATAATGAGGATAATGATGATAGGTTCGCGGAGAGTTAAATGAACGTTCGACTACGTTGGAAAAAATAATAAAAATATGAATGAAGGGAAGAATGAATGAATACCTGAATGAAGAAATGAATGAACGAACGAGTGCATGAATGAATGGATAGATAGATGGATGACGAATGAATGAATACATAAAATGAATTAATTGATTAGCAATTAGCATCAGAGAGTTGTTCTAAGTCAGTTTGAATTTGAAGCGTAAAATTGCGATTGATTGTTAAGGCTATGACTATTAGGCGGTTGTGATATGTTGAAGACGAGCAAAATACTTATATTATTATTGTTGCGGTATTCTTTAATCAAAAACAAATTTCCGGGTGCCGTGGGAACCATGCATAAGGAATTTTAACGGGAACAATTTGGTTACGTGGTCCATCCTGTATCATACGGTATCGGCCTGTATCATCACTTAATTGCGTATGCGGAATAGAATAACTTAATACAGTACTCAAGAGGGCACACAGTTTCTACAGCTACAAACGATACGCCTGATCCAGGACTGACGTGTGGATGAAAAGCATTGCAACACTCTCATTTTATCTTGTATGTGCCCCAGAACAATACACAAGGAAGTGCGATATGTTCCTATCCGCTATTGAATAGGCTGGGGTACCCCTGACTTCTATTATTTTCCCCTTTCAAAAGACCAACGAATGCAATTTGAAAGTCAATAGAGAAGCCGTTCCATACGAACCCTATTAACTCACACCCTTAAATAGATATGCTTTTTCACACCATCGGAAGGGAATATGGTTGCGTGGGTCTGTAGAGAACGCGCAAGCAGGAGGGCCTAGGTCTATTGAATTATAATTTAAAGTGGCCTGCGAATGTATGTCTAGCCACGTAGACAATTATAGGCCTATGCAACCACTTGCATACATAGTGCATTGCCTCACACACATGTATCACATTAGGTCGATCAAATTATTACCTTACAATATCTTTAGTTACAACCAAGAAAAATCCGTGCTTTTAGGGATACATACTACGCCAGACGGGCACGGATGATAGACATTCTCGTAGTTGATTGGCTGAAATAGTTATGTTCGTCTTTACCTTGGTAACTTACTCTATCACGACCCCATATAACTTGTTGGCTATCCAACAGCATATACTGTATCATTAGTACAATGTACATGCTTACCATTTTACCTAGTAGTTTAGTGTTTCTCCCCCGAAAATTAAATTTACCACAATATATGGTCGGCTGTACTGTATTGGTACTTGTATATTTATCACTGATTCGTCATTCTGAGGCTTACTACAGACGCCTATTATCAAAATACATATCGATAACGTAAGTCAAAGTACAATATGTTTAAATTTTCTGTGTGGCCAATTTATCATATATAATTAGAAGGTATAACTAATGAATACGTTAATTGAAAGATATCGATAGCTTAGGAATTCGACCATGACACCATCGACACCAAATTCGAACGCACTAATAGTCTGTATGGAAGGTTTGGTTTTAACGTGTGAATGAATCGAACTATCTAGTATTGAATGATGACGATTCAAGGTAGGCCTACAATGTTTTTTATTCATTGAAGTGGTGATTCACCGTGTGGAAATGCCGAATATTCAAGTACACAAAATATGTATATAGGCCTCATATAATAGACACTGTAATATGTGTTGTATAACAGGTGGATATATAAGAGTTCATTCACACACATGAAACATATAGAATTAATTTTATATAATAGGATTAATAAGTAGTAATAATTAAAAAGTTAATAAAGTTAATAAATACATAAAATGCATATCCATATATAGGCCTATACATATATATATATACACACACACACACATACATATATATATATATATATATATATATATAAAAAAAATATCTCAATTTTTTGTGAAACAGTGCTCAATCCCACTGAAAAATCTATCTCTTATACACATCTAGATGTGTATAAGAGACAGATTATGCACTTGTCAATTGTAGTCCAAACTTCCATGGAAACTGCTAAGTGATACGCACGCGTAGTGCTTCCATCAAGGAACCTCATCTCCTTGGCCTAGCTCTCACGTTGCTTCTCCGATTCAGTAGGCCTATATATGTATGTATACGGCACCCGAAATGCAAATTCACTAAACGAAAATTTCGACCAAAAAAAACCTCTGGTTTTTAATTAATTATGGTAATTAAGATACATTTTAAAGCTTTTCATTATTTAAATGGAATGTTTCGTTTCTGAAATGCATAGATTCTAGTTATGAAATACGTGAGAAAAATGTGTTTATTTTCGTGAAGAGCGGATTAATGTGGTGGATCCAAACAATGCACAGTACAGGGGATATTCTATCAGGCCAATAATACCAATTAATCCTATTTACTATTATATTCCGCTATTATAGGGAATACGAAGTTGCATAGGCCATGACTAATGGCATACAGAATACATTCTACCAAGTCTCGCCATTAGGTTTATGGAGGTCTACCTCGGCAAATATATGTATAGACCTACTCAATGTATCATCAGCAGAAATTAATATATAAACGTATAAGAAGCTAGGCTAGGTAACTGTTAAATTCTAACAATACTTACCTCCATAACACACGCCGAGACCGCTCGCACCAATCGGTTGTGCTGTTGGTGACAGAGTATGCCTAGGATTATCGATGCGTAATTCTGCTTGTTTACTCACTAGCGTCCCACGAGCAATAACAATAGCAGAACAAATGATAGAAATTGAACAATGCTAAACGAGGTGCAGTAAGCATGTTGTTGCATGAAACTATCCCCTCTTGAATAACAACTTTATGTCTTCATTCTCTCAAAAATATTTTTCAATTTAATTGCCGACCGGTACTGCTTTAATTGCCTGTTCGTCTTTTTAATTAAATACCAATAGAGTCGCATGAAAAACGGTTAATAGTCGTCCATATTGATTAAAAATCAGTTAAATGCTTTCACGACATTCAGGATGCTTTGGATGGAGCAATCGAAAATCTGTTGTTAAGGTAACAAAATAAAAACAACGCGGGAGTTTTCTTGTAATATATACAGAAAACAAATAAAGTAAAGTAAATATTAACACTAGTTACTGGATACAACAAAACTTAAATATAAAACATAACTCTTACCCCTCCTGTTATAGGCCAGAACTCAAGTTTGCACTATTCAGAACATTTTTAAGTAGGCCTATAGTAAGTATATGTCTAAAAAAAGAGTCTTCTCATTCTCATCTCATTCTCATAACAGCTATAAAGGAACGAAAGACAAACAGAAATACTTTAAGTGGAAAACCCCTAAAACTAAATAAAAAAGGCCTACAATATAAATAAAAACATGCAGACAATGTTTCTATAAGTGTTTCCTAATAGATAAAATTCTATGCATAAATAAATTGTTTTATTTTTATAACCGTCTAATATACACGGGTTATCAAGTCTACTCAGGTCTACTGCACTGAAGGAGATGGTTGTTATCGTAAGCCATATAGAATAATGTAAAATACTATATACACAATGACCATATGAACTTAATAGTACAGTGTGTATTGTAATGTTTAAATGTCCTTCAAGGTGGTACGTTATACTGCAGCTTTACCCAAGGAAATCACGATTGTGGTATAAGCCTATTATAGTGGAAAAGATAGAAATTTGAAAATCAGTCACAAACACTTTCTCAAATATAAAAAATCTTTGGAATATTATTAATTAGCCAAAACACTAAGCTCATTCATTTGATAACAATAGACCCTAATGTAAATGATAAATCTCCACATTTTGTGTAGGTAGCATCTACTTTTCAACGGCAAGCAAAAATATAGCTTGTCATCGAATCTGGGAGAATTTGAGTTAATTGGAGTGTGAGAATTTACGGTTTGACTTGAAAAAAATTGAGATCAGAAACGTAATAGTGGATGAAAAGAGTTATAGAGTACGCGTATGATAATCTTTGAAGAAATACATTATCACAGAGCTGCCACACGTGAAATCAAAGTACTGTACGCAACTTCGACGCACCGCCTAAAGGTTTCGATATCAATAGCGCCCTCAACATTTGCTACATTATGCTGACCTGGATAGCATCTTAATCATCAAACTAGCTCACAAAAAGTAAAAAATACAGTAGACATAAACAAATTGCTAAATAATAGAAACAATGTTTAGATAGAAGCAAATCAAGTTATGTCTGTATCAAGCATTGCCCTTCAACGAAAATTTGGAGATCCCGTTTTGTCGTTGAAAAATGTTAAGGCACATGTGTGGTGGGACAGTCCTGTTATCGATGGACAGTGTATATCAAAGAACTATATGAAATATTAAATTATTGATGGGCCTATTAATTCATTACGTTATCATGCTTGTTTTAATTGAGTTTTCATCCCATAAGTACAAATGTACGGTATACCGGTACTGTAATTATCAATTTTAAAGGGGGTTCTTAACAATGTCCATGTTGACATTATTATAATATACGGATACATCAGTGTAGTCCAACCGCAGTGACCGGTAGTGTTTTCGATGGATTCAATCAGTAGGTTCTCCCAACATGTAAATATTTAATGTAAGACAAACCATTGCTTTAATTATATGTTAAAAATTATTGATTACTTACTGTATGTAAAGGGTGGCCTGTATTCATTAAACAAGATTGTTCAAATTTACTTTCGCGCATGCGTCGCCTAATGATACGCGCATTATTGAGTTGAGATGCATCCACACCGAATCCGAATTTTCGGATCGGAGAGCCTCCGAGCCGATCAGAAAGGGACGCTGGCGTTCAGCGCATTGGAAACGCGGTGCGAATTTCAGTTCGGATCCGATGTGATTGCGGCTTTACTTCTCGGCGACCAAACAAGCTTCGGTGATGCGGCGCTTGATAATCAAGAGATTCTAAAGAGGCGCTTATTACACATTATTAGAGTGTTAAAATGATACCATGTGTACATTAGGTACATCTGATATGTTACAAATTTTGATCGGTGAGTAATCGGTTATCCATACAAAGCTACTAAACAATAAGACACTTTGAGTATAGGCCTAATATATACGCCGTGACGTTTATTCAAAATTTAATAGGCTTATTATCTCTAATAAGCGCCGCGGTGAATAATCAAGAAAGCGCAGCGGTGCATAATCAAGAAACATAATTGTTTATCGGGATCATAAAAAAAGAAATACAAAGACGATTATTACGAACGCATATTTATTTCATATCCTCACAAACGAGTTGACTTTTATGTACCATATTATAATAAATAGTGTATATTATATTATTAATATAGGAAATGCATTGGAGGTAGACGACGAACTCTATACTACTACTACTGTACTATATTATTTGGTGAAATAAGTGAATAAAGCGTACATAAAATCTAGGAATAGGGATCATAAGCAAAAAATTCATAGGGCCTGTGGTTGAAGAGGGGTAAACACCGAACACACCTCAGCCTGTTTATTACAACTTTGGGGCGTTCCTAGTGTAATAAATTAAATGATTACGGATAGAGATAAAATAGAGCACATAATTAGACTCATCGCATGAAAATGCATAATTGAGGATGACGTCATGAACTCGTACGCGTACACACCAACACCATGATACATGCCTTTTGTACGCATGTTACTCACATCGCAAACATTTACATATCCATATATTGCGCATACTATTCTGAGACTACTAACCGAACACATCCTCAAATCCTCTTTAAGTTGTTTGCGAAATGAGGTCCAGAATTGGGATTACCAAACTTATCCTATCACGTTGCGTTAATACATGAACCGTTACGGCATTTATGCAATAAAAAACCAACTTAATACATGATACACTTCTATATAATAATATATACGTTATTACTATAGAGTGCTCACCGCAAAATAATAATATATTTCTAGTGAATATTGCATGTTCAATTACTGTCCATCAGCATCGAACACAAGGGGGCGCTGTTGTGGGACAATAAATTTTAAAAAAAAAATCTAAGAGCCTTATCTGATAAAAGGTAAGGTACTACCGTCTATTTTAGTACTTCCTTGTAAATCTTAATCTGGCCATTTAATTTCCATCCCGGAAATCGATTGCAAACCAGCGCTGGCTCCAGAAAATTACGGACGGGGTCCGACATGTCCAACGAGGGTTTCCAAACCGAAAAACCGACTCAGAGCCTCAGTCCAGATCGTCCCAGAATAAAAAAAATTCCCTGGTAGAGTTGACGGGGAGAGTTTTTGCTTCTTAGTATCCCAAATTGTGCTTTTAGACCACAATAATAATGAATGGCAATCAAAATAAAGTTACTTGGATAGGCAAATTATTATTTTTGATCTGACACCTCGTCGCGGTGTCGGACGACAGGGGTCCAGGCCTGTCCTCACTTCCCCCGCTGGCACACGCCACCGCTGCTGCATAACCTTAAGAAAATTGGTCTCTAATTCATCATTATTTGGCTTACTGTTTTACTGTGTAGATATCTATATTTAATTATCCCACATCCATCAGTACCAGCTGAATGAAATCCCCAAAACAACCAACCCCCCTCCGCCATTTCAAGAATTGCACACTACCCATCAAATTATAGGCCTATGTCTACATATTTTTCTATAACTCTAAGCTGAAATAAATAAATAAATTAATTAATTAATAAAAAATAACATTATACATTATAGGCCTTCAAACATTAATGTAGATAAAGACAGTCTGTCAAAATACAGTAACCACCTGTCGTAAAGAGAATTTCAGATGCAAATACTGTATCCACTTCTTTCAAGTTTTAACAGCACTCTGACCACGATCGTTGGAAGAACTACAAAGCAATGCATTAAAGACTGAAAGTTTGTCGAAATGAATTGTTGGTTGCTGTAATAAACTGAAGGCCTAGATTAATCCGGGAAGAGACTGGACACACCATACACACAGAGCAGCGTGCCAAAGAAGTTCATATCTGGATGTATGTAGGCCTGACAGTTGATTGCCACACCTTCACACAGAAGATGGCAAAACAGACAGACAGAGCAACCTGGAATTTAACGCTCGACATTTTAATATCCGCTACGTTATGTGGCATTCATACAGATGATGTTTCTGTTTTCTTCGTTCAGTTTGTGTGCATGTAGTCAAAGTCAATACGACATCTTGCTGTTTCAACCTTTAGACGTTCTCATGTCTTTCACATATCCAACACATGATTTAAATAAGATATATAACATATTGCTAATCGTAGAATCTCAATTTTTGACAGTTTCTTGTCAGGTGGTAACGTGGGCAACAATGTACGCAGTTCGCCGAATGCTATATTGAACGCCTCAACTCGTATCCGCTCACGTGTCGCGTGTGCACTGCGGTACTTTGCCGTCGACCTACGTCGTCGACGACGTTCTTCCCTCGACAATGAAAGATAATCGTTACGGGATGATTTGGAAGTGGTGTTGCTATTTTCGTTCTGTTCCGGCCGTCCATTTATGTCTTCCGGCTCCTCCTCCTTCTTCACCACGTTTGGTAGTATCATACTCGGCATTCCAGTTTCTATAGACGATGTACACCTTATCGAGTCACTGTCGACAAAAGAAAACAAGAAATCATATAGTATGTTAACAGTGTGATGAAATTAGGGCCTACGATCATTATTGGATGAGCCTCCACACTATCAAATTTTATTTCATCATAATGGAAAAACAGGGTTTTTTGTCAACGAAAATATGATAGTGTGTATAGAGGTTTATGTTAAGAAAATGAGATTATGTGTGATAATATTTTCATGTTTTGATTATTCTTCATTTTATGAGAATGAGGTAAACCCTTAACATTTCTTCATAGAAACAAGCGAGAGAGGGTTTCTAAAGACACTAAAATTCTGGTTCTGATGCATAAAGCCGGGCACTCACTGCGTCGTACGACCGTCGCACGACGAATCCAACTCCGCTCTCTGTGAGCGATAGATGACGCGACGCCGTCTGCTGATTGTCGGTGGCAGTCTGAACTGATCGTCATTAAAAACGATCCGTTGCGCGCGTGTCGTCGCGTTGTGTGTGTGTGTGTTTTTTTTTTATAGAAACACGTCGGCGCACAACGACCGCCGTGCGCAGTGAGTATGCCTACTGCATGAACTCCTCAATAGGGATGTACAGGCAGGAGCGTCGTGACTGAGCTTTACATGAAGTGGGCCTCCCTAGAGATGTTTTCCGTGCCTTGCGACATTTGTAATTAAAAATCACAAGTAAAAGAAAAAAGATAACATATTGTCCGTGTTATCCTCAGTCAACCTGCAAATGCAAGCACCCGCCACAATATTACCTCCAAAAAATGCTATTGGAGTGATGCCACAAATTCCTTGACGGCAGAAGACGTTATTCAGATGTAGGCTTAAGTAGTGTTCCGTTCAGATGTAAAAGATTATTGCAAATTGGTCCTCCGCCGTTACATAACGAAGTGAAATGCTTTTTATACCGCTGCTAAATGTATTGCTAATTTTAAGCATGCGCAGGTAAATAATGCGACATAAGGTTTCTATAATAATTTTAATTTACCACATCTTTTCCTCAATTTGATGACCTCTCCTTTGTGTGTATTTTCTCAGCACAATACTCAATTAGGCATACAAATCTCATTTAGGATTTATTACTAAATAGTGTTACATAATCCCCCTCAGTTGACAATACCCCCACATTTTCAATCTTACGAATAATAAACATACTTTTGCCACCAAAACTCATTTTCATCTTTAGCAACATTTCAAATCTACTAGTGTAATTGCAATTTCAAATATCATTTGTAAGCCTATACGCTACAGAAACTGGAAAATAGAAAATACTCCCAGTAGCATTGTGTTTTTTTCAATTAGTATTCGTTCCAGACGAATACTTCCGCATAAAACTATTTTAAATTATAATTAGCGACTTCTGGATTTGTTCAGCTACATGCTTCAGAGTTTGACATCATTAGTTATTCAAAAAAAAAACCCCTAAACAATTGTCCTTTGCCGCTTTAGATGAACCATCTTTATTTAAAATAATAAGTTTTTTACGTAGTATTTTATTTGAAGCGAAGTGTTATAATATTGATGTACCAAGATAATGTGCATCAATTTGGTGTCATTTGGGACGCTTAAAATATAGGGACCGAGTGCGCGTTCCAAGAGAAAAAGCACATGATGCACACCGTAAACCAAATATTAGGGTTGTTTTATTACAAAGAAGAAAGAAAATGATTCTAATTTCAGAGTTGAGAGATGTTCAGGCGCTAGTATATAGTTACGGGTTTAAGACCAATTCTCTTAATGCTATCTATATAGGCCTACATCAAGTACCGTAATACTGGCCTCCACAAAGCGTGGACAGATGAGAATTTTCAAAAAGGGAAAAGGGGATACAGGTTTGGAAACGAGGTTCCAACCAGTGGCGTGACCAGCGGGGTGGGTGGGGGATATTTGGGCCTATGAATGTTAGTAAAACGTATTCGCTAACCTAACAACATTAAGACTATGCTTATAGGCTGAAAAGACTGCATTAAATGCAATGTCAGTATCGTTAAAGAATATGACTGTGTGAATATAACCAATAGAATCACCTTTTATCTTACACACTCCGATGCCCCTTTGGACTGGGGACCATGGGACTTCTCCCCCTCCCCGAGACCCAATAGGCGTTAAGCCACTGGTTCCTTCCTTTTATACGTTTAAAAGTTTTTGGTTTTTTTTGTCCATGCGTTCGACATGGGCTATGTTCTCACATGGCAGCTAACGGTTAGCAGGATCCGGATCCTGCTAACCGTTAGCTGCCGTGCGTCCATACAAAAAAAATCCGGATCCGGATACCAAGAATATGATGATCGAATCACTGGCCAATAAGAAACTGGAAATTGTAAACGCGTACGTGTGATTGGTTGATGATAGAAACGCGCTCACTTGCTAACCGATAGCGCTTGCTATCCGGTTAGCGCTAACCGATCGGGTGTTCTCACTCAGGTGCTAACGGTTAGCGCTAACGGTTAGCTCCCGATCCGGATACTGGTTTCTCGTGAGAACCAGGCTATGGTCACAAATCTCAAAACGAAGCCATCCTTTATAACTTTATAGGCCTACTTTGTTAAATTGTCACATCATATACCTAGTGTTCATCTATTGCTTTCAGTAACGAAAGCAATAGATTAGTTACTGGGTATAAGAAGTTGGGATCTGGACATGTCTCTCTCGTCTGAATTTGTTTTTAATATACGAGGGTTGAAGATTCAAGACGGAATAGACGAGTAGCAACAAAACAGAAAGTTCAACTGAATGAAAGAAACGACTTTTTGTCATCTCCACAATGGAAAAAGGAATTACCATTGGGACAAAGTGGTAATGATTTACTAGCTTAGAAACACGTAGTAACAAAGTGTTAATGACTTAAGTCATTAACACTTTATCGCACTAATGACTAATTAACTGAAAATCTTAAACAAAAGGTTTTAACGTAATGACTTAATAACTTAAAATATTAAACATAAGGTTTTAACGTAAAGACTAATTAACCAAAAATTTTAAGCATAATGACAATATAGTTTTTCTCTAATAACTCTTTCTCTAAGTATCGTCACGTCATCCATCTACACTTGCCCTAAAAATTGGTCCATATACAAAATAAATGATGTTAATGAATTAGGCCTAGGCCTATTAATACTATTTCCTCACCTTATAATAGAGCAATTCATCCTGGTATTAAAAATACTAGGCCTTATAAGCCTACGCAAATAATATTACAAACTATTGTAGAACCTTACTAGCTGAACCCGAGCCAAGAAATGTCTCGCGACCATGCAGTCACCAGTCAAATATGGAGTAAGTTAGGTCTGAGTCTAATTACTTGCAGCGGGTTGCTGGATTGATGAAAGAGAAGTTTTACCACCTGATCCTACGCCCTTCAAAAACGTCAAGCACATTTCAGGGGCACTTTTATCAATTGAATATTTAGTAAAGAATGAATTGTTTAGTTGACACATAATATAATTGGTTGGAACACGATTCATTATCAGATATATCGTTGCTCATTCAAAATATGAAGTGTTTTGGCGACAAAACGAGTGTTGAGGCGTACAAAACAGTTTCCTCAACGTATACTTGAAAAAAAAAACTTTCGTTTGTAGTTTTATTTCGACTGATTGACTTATTATGCAAATGATCAACTATAACACATTTGCCGGTTATAAGTTAATAATGAGCAACTGTAATAGGCCTACTTACCGTATGTCAATTTTGTGCAGTTGCATGTTTTGAGTTTAGTTATTTATTTAAGTTAAGCATGGTGTTCGTTTCAATCTCAATTTAATGTTTAACTGAAAATAAGTTTTTATGCGTTGTTTTGTCTAATACAAGAAAAAAAAAAAACCTTTTTATTGAGAAGTTGAATAAAGGCCCAGCTTCATAATAAAGCAATATGGGCAAATGTGGCTGCGAATTAAAATAATGGAAATCAGATATTTGAAGGGCTCTTAAAGACAATTTTGCCTTCGTTAAAATTAACAAGTTTCTAAAAACAAAATCAGTTATCATTCGAAATTAAAATAGAGGCCTAGCTAAATGTGACGCTGGAAGGTAATTTGCTCGCGGTTAACACAAATGCCTATGATATCGTAACCAAATTGCGCATGATCCCGGCTTAACACGCTTACCGTCTGCTGCGTAATTTTTAGAATATGATTATGAAGTATTTACAATTATGATGAAATGCTGTAGTAGAAATGGCGCCATTCTTTAGTATACTGATACTGTTATACTCCCTATTCCATGTCAAACTTTTACCCCGGCTAAAAAAGTACAAGTGCAATAAATTAAGACGTGATGAATTAAATAAACGCAATTGAAGAAACATTTGTTAACATTTCATTTGATTCTATACTGATTATAGTGGAGTACCAGTATTATTAGCGCCACGAGCTGTCCATTGTTTGCTGAGACGATGACAGATGCCGAAGTGTCCGCCTAATAACCCGAAGTAAACCTGATTGAAATAGAGGCAATCTGCGATATAAATGGCTACACTGTTTGACAATAAAAATGTTAACATATGGCTGCGGATTTGCCAATCTGACAGTTTGATAAGGAGTAAAAACAGCGATGACAAAAATAATGAGGAACATAATAATTTCCCCACAAAATGAAGACATTAATGTAGGCCCTACAAATTAAATGCCAATATCCAATAATAGTTAGTGTAAGAATACGAATCTGAATTCGCATCGTGTGGCTTGTAATAAACTAGAAATTACAAATTGCAAGTGAAGTGCTGCGAAGTACGACTGCATATAAATGTTCTTCGAACAAAATTATTTATTCGAGTCAAGTGAAAATAATGAATAATAAAAATATAACAAATAATATGAGACACGACCCATTGTCTATATTAGAACACGTAATTTTTCATTTTTGTCAAAAAGTGTCTATAGTGGTGAATTATGGTTTAGGTTTTTTTAAATAAAGTTTCAACAATTCCTATGTACGTGGAAAATGTAGTTGATTACCAAAGGTTACAATTTTTATTTTGAAGACTGCATGGTCTAGGAAGTGTACATTTTTTTATGGGGCAAGTTTCCAAGGCCGGGTTTTCCTAGGGGCGAGTTGACTGCCAAAGAGTGTTGCCAATGTGCGAGCCAGTGTGTTATTTGATCACAAGTGCGAGACATCGCAAGTGTGAGCCAGCGAGCCATGACGTCACGACAATAGATACGAGACGTTACTCGAGTTGTGCTAGGTATCGGCTGAGATTTGTGGAGTACAATTAAAAAAAAACAACTATAGGTCTAATAATGAATTATTGTGATGTTAAATAGACAATGTTAGCTATCAAGGAGCGACGTTGTTTTTCATTAGGACATTCGTCCCGTCAAGGCTAGGCCTATACCATCCTAACTAGTCTAGGCCTAGAGTAGGATAAGGCTAGCGCGACATGCGGATGTTGGTATGTGTTGGTTAGTCTACAAACGTCGCATAAAGTAATTGATTTTTTTCGCAGAACGAAAGAAGGAAACTCCACTTTTCAGTCGTTTTAGGCCCTTGTTTTTTGACAAACAATGACCTTTCAGAGGTCAAATTGC